AATTAAAATTGAATGTTAAATTATCTAAAATGAACTCAACTCGTCAATCTTCGTCTTAGTGAGACAATAACTCTATAAAAACGTCCATTAAACATGGTTCAATTAGCCCCTGAACAGAGAACAGTCGTACTGAATCAAAACGTATACGAAACAAATAGTCATGATATAACAATATTGTTACAAGCTTGTGTCATCAACCTTGACCTTGTAACATTCTTGTTATATCATGACTGTATCAGACTTGTTAGAACAACCTTGTAACAAGTCTGATAATGCCATCAAGCTTGTTACAAGTTGTTAACAGCTTGTTCCAAACTTGTTACAACAACATATAACAATTCATACAATATAGAATAGCTATTGAAACATAATAAAACGCGCGAATTCCTCTCTCCATATAATAACAAGTGCTTGAAATGTAACAGTAATTTGGTTATAACTTGTGTAAATGGTGGATAAAATAAGTAAGAACATGTATCATCATGAATATAAATATAAATATAGATTTCTATAATCTATAAACAGCTATAAACGATTAGTTGGCCGAACGTCGCGAAGCTCTAGAAAACGTAATAAAAAATCATTTACAAGTTCCCCTGAGATTGTTTACACTATAGATCGATCCATTGATCGGTCACTGGATTGAACTTTTCTCACAACAATAGTGCAAGGCAACTTTGCACTAAAAACCACGATGGGGTTTATACGAAAATGTATACATTTTTAAACGAGATTCGTTCATATTCTTTTATAAAATGTGGTGACGTGGCTCTTTAAAGGGCGTTGTTTGTTTGTTTGTTTGTTTGTTTGTTTGTTTGTTCTCTTTTAATCAAATAAGGACAGGTCCAAATCCATGAACCAATCCGGGTTTGGTAAAGCATCCAAGCTGGGCAAGTTCGTGTCCGGAAAATCACTTAGCCATGACAGATCGTGTTGAAACATATCTTCAAGAGGAAGGCTGTTTTGGAGAGCAGGCAGAGCTTGAAGAGGTTCGTCGTCTTGGATAGGCAGAGGTTGAGGATGTTCGTCTTGGAGAACTGGTATGGGTTGAGGAGGTTCTTCTTGGAGAACTGATATGGTTTGAGGAGGTTCGTCTTGGGGAACGGTTATGGCTTGATGAGGAACGTTATTTTGTTGAATAGGTACAGTTTGAGGAGAAATATGTCGGAGAGTAGACATGTTTTCAGCAGCATCGTCGCTCGCACTATATACAGCTTCAAATGCATCTACCATAGCTCTGTTATTGTTCAAGGCAAAGATATAAAACGCTCTTAATTTGTTAAATTCCTCTTTCCTCCTTTCTCTAAACCGCTTGGACTTTTTCGCAGCACGTTCTTTTCTGTCCATGATAGATATCAATATATTTTCACCCTCATAGGCCCTTCTTATATAGACAGGGGAATTCGCGCGCTTTTATGACGTCACCTCATTGTTACTTAAGGTTACGTTACCTCAATTAAAGGTAACGTTACTTGTTGTTCAAAGGTTACGTTACCTCATTATTCAAAGGTTGCCGCCCGATTTTCAGGTCTACGCTCGCGTAATAAACAATCCTTATCTGCCCATAATAAACACTTAAGAAATCAAATTTTAGCTTGTGACCCTTTAACAACTGTTAATGACTTTGGCAGCACACATTTTCGACATCAACAATGACAACATTCCGATATATACCCAATTTTTGAACTTTGCCTAACAGTCTATTCGCCCAATGTCGCCAAATTTCGCCCAGCGACGCATACTACTTTTCTTTGAAAATTGCCAATGTTGCACATAATAATGGCGACCTTGGCACCCAAAGTAGGCCTATTTTCGTGTTCATTGTCTGTGAAAACAATCAATTTCTAAAGAAATGAATGATGATAATAATTTTGAATTTGCATAGCGGAACTAAATTGTCGGACTTGGTACGCCACTGCGTGGGCGGGATGACTCTGTAATATGCAAATATCGAGCATCGCAATGGCGTATAAAACTATGTTAACCCAAGCCCGCGTAATGAATCTATAAATAATGGCTGTTCGCCTGAACATGCCCACGGCCGCCCGTAATAATACCCATTTATATTCATTAGGATCCTATTGGTTATGCAAATTCGTATTGCAAATTCGTATGCAAACATGCATGCAGAAACCCTGGCCTTGCTGACAAAACCATTATGTTCTCCAAACATGAAGTATTATGGTAACACGATAATTTTAAGAATATTTTAAGAATGGAACATTTGTCGGGTTTTTAATTACTGTACAAAATTTCAGACAATTTGGTTTAGTTTTTGGTGTAGTTAAAGGTAACTATTCACGCAAAGTTACATTTTTCCTAAAAATCAGCTATTTGCATTCTTAATTAATGCCTTTGCCTAATTTGCATATGTCAGCAATATGCAAATTAGGCAAAGGCATTAATTAAGCATGCGAAAGGCTGATTTTTTAGAATAAAATGAATAGTTAAACGGCTTAAACTCAACCAAATTGTCTGAAATTTTGTACAGTAATTAAAAACCCCAACAAATTTTCCATCTATTAACTCAAAATATGATTAGAACTTTTAAATTTCGTGCGCGAGCTATTTTTAGTTTGTTGGAAAAGACACACCCCCCTGGTTCACAAAATTTGAGTTCGATATATATATATATATATATATATATATATATATATATATATATAAAACCGGATACAAATAGGTGTTTTGCGAAATTGAGAGCAATTTCGAATCTGTTCAGTTTTTTTTTATACACCCTGTATATGCTAGGTATGTTATTATTATCAGTTATAGACCTGAAACGAGGGGTATTCCACAAAAAATTACCCTGAGGGATGAAATATTCCGAGGGCGAAGCCCGAGGACTATTTCATCCCGCAGGGTAATT